CTGAACCACCAGCCTTCTGGTTAGCAGTCAAATGCCTTAGGCACTATGCCACCAGAGCTCCTACAAAACAACTTAGAGCACTACAAATCAAAACTATCACGACGACACACCAGTTTGTTTTAGTTTACTTATTTCATTAATGAAATATTAAAAGGCTACAATATGGGTGCTACTTTTCAGAGTGCCATGGACATTTAAGTGATCTAAAAGTACTTTATAGCACCACTTAAGGGAAAATGTCAGGAACAACATTTTGCAAAGGTGAGATGCTGTGGCAGCAAGCCTGTCATGTGAAAAAGTTGTTATTTTTTTCAGAAGACTTTTAAAGACAAATACCAAACAACTCCTTACCATCTACTCACAGCAACCCTATAGGACAGGGTAGAATTGCCCCTTAGGGTTTCCAAGGTTGTAAATCTTTACAGCATCAGACTACCTCAGCTTCCTCCTGGGGAGTGGCTGGCAGGTTCAACCACTGACCTCTTGGTCAGCAGGCACGGATTGTTTTGCAAACTCAAACAATAGGCTGCAGATCAGATTTCAATAACAAAAGGATGGGGGGGGGGCTTCAGGTAAACTGGAAAAGCAAGCAGACACAGACCCTCTTCAACAAAGAAAAGAGAAACCAATTGACAGAGATACAGAAGATAATCCTGGAGCCCTGAGCTTTGAAAGGAACTACACAGAAGTGGATTAGGCACCAACTAGTGGAAAAACCTGAATGAAAACAGTGAGTACAGAGACGGTCGGAGTTGCGGACTGTCAGCTACTCTGACGGGACCAACAGCCTGAATGTTTCCAAGTGGTGTTGGGACATGAGAATTGACCTAAAGATCAGCCCTGGTCATCAAGGGCTTCAGGGATGACTGTATTGGTGGCCTATGACTAGGAAGGGAAACAGCAAGGAGGGAGACAACCTGAGTTGTTGACTTTCTGCTGTCTGGAGGGCGCAGCCATTTTGATGGTTTACACATGGCAGCCATTTTGGATATTTAAAGTGATAGAGGGGACAGCCATTTTGAATCTTTACCAGTGGCAACCATTTTGGATTTTAAAGTGACAGCATTCTCATTCAGATTCCAGGGACCTAAGAACAGGCTCTGTTTGCTAAGGTCGGCAGGGACATACGAGAGACTGACAACAGGACAGGAGACAAGTGGTAAGTGTATAAGTGCTGTCAACTAAAGTCACTCCAACATACAATCGCCAATTAAATATAATCACAAACACATCACAATACCTCGGAGACAACAGAGCATCACAGTCAACACAAAGAAGCAAGATAAAGCAGGAGAAACAAGGTACCAGGATACAGATCCAAAACACATCTCTGAGGAAGACGTAGCATTGGAACTCCCTGATAAGGAATTCAAAAGAATTATAATTAGGTATCTTCAACAAATTGAGAGACAGATCAAGGAAAACACAGAGAAAACCCTAGAACAATTTCAAAAGGCAATACAAGAACAAAATGACAAAATAAATGAAAAATTAGAAATGATACAAAATGTACACATAGAAATCCAGAAGATTAATAATGTATTTTCAGAAATAGATAAGACATTGAATTGGCAAAGGAGCAGAACTGAATCAATGGAAGACAGAATCAGTGAGATTGAGGCAAATACCTGAACACTTCTTTGGAAAGGAAACAAAGTTACCTACAAGGGGCAAGCAATAAGACTAAACTGGTGTTTCTCAGTAGAAACCATGAAAGCCAGAAGAAAATGGGATGGTATATATAGAACCCTGAAAGAGAAAAATTTCCAATCAAGAATTATGTACCTAGCAAAACTGTCCCTCCAATATGATGGTCAAACTAGGACATTTCCAGAGAAGCAGAAATTAAGGGAATTTGTTAAAACCAGACCAACCTTACAAGAGATGCTAAAGGGAGCCCTCTGGACAGAGAAGCAACAACAGCCAACAACTGACCATTAACACACATGATAATAAAACCCAAAAACCAACCCAGCTACGGAAGTATCCAAAGTAAATAAGCCTACAAGATTGTAAACAGGGAACCAGAGACATCAATTGACAAGTGAGGACAACTACAAACCAAAACGAGGGAAAAAACTGTCATTACAGAACTTCCAGATGGTAGAGAAGTCAAGACAACTACAGACTGTTCTAAACTTGGGAAGAAAACTATAAATCACAGGGTAACCTCAAAGAAAAATGATAAACTTTCACATCAAAAAAAGAGGACCAGCATAAATATTCAGCAAATACTAAAACAACAACAATGAAAGAAGTGATAACATGATTCATAAACAAAACGAGCTAAGCATAGAAAATTATATGGAACAAAGAAATTGACACCACGAGAAAGCACCTAACAAAAATGACAGCAACAAATTCATATTGGCCAATAATTACATATCTGGCAAGGGACTTATCTCCCTAAGACTTATAGCGGAAGAGTGGATGACCAAACTATGGTACATACACCTAATGGAATGCTTTGCAGCACTAAAGAACAATGTACAGTCTGCAAAACACCGCCTAATATGGATGAACTTGGAGAACATGATGCTGAGTGACAAAGTCAATCACAGAAAAACAATATAGTATTAGTTCCTTGTTGTGGAGGGTCAAGCAAAGGTTTACACAGGGAGGGAAACTTTCTTGGTTGATTGCCAGGGGTGGGAGGGGAAAGGAGGGAACACTGGAAAAAAAAATGCACTGACGCATGTCACTTTAGTTTTGTGTATTTCACTGTACATAAATTATATTTCAATAAAATCCATTAAAAAAGAAAGAAAGAAACACCGGGGGGAGAGTGTCTTTTTGCTCTAGAAAAGTGTTTTATCAGTTCTATGTAAAACTGAAGAGAACTCCCGGTATAAAAAATTTTGGGAACAGCGAATAAATGGCTCGAACGGATGACCGAATTTAGGACCTGATTCTCCGGTTGTTCAGTGACGGTGAGAGCGTTGGTCAGGTCCTTCAGCCAAGATCCCTTAAGGAACAGCAAGGATCCAACCACCTTCTCCAGGGTAGAAGCACAACCAATATACCCGACTATAAACCACCCAAACCCCGAGACTCAGACAACTTTGTCGCCATGCGAATACAGGGCCAGCTGCAGTCCCCTGCACATGGAGCCAGCCTGCCCCCCGAGACTTATTTTGAAGCAGGGAATCGTGAAGCATACCGTGAAGAAGGGTCTCCCGTAGTTTCCCAGAAGTTTTTAATAAGTTCTCAAGAAATGCTACAAGCTGTTCCTTACTCAGCTCTTTGTCTTGCAAGATTTCGCGTAGAGTTTCTGCAGAAACTAACCTGAAGGCATTGTCCCCCGGAAGCAAAGGGCCTGGCTCGTGGTGGAGGGCGTCCACCGGGAAGACCTGCTCCCTGAACACCACCACCGAGGACCACCATTCCGCGGCTAGGTTCTTCCGCAACTCTATGCCCAAGTGTCCAAAGCCGGGGTGGCACCCACTCAGAAGGGAATCTCGGCTAAGCTGTCGCTGAGTTCCACTGAGGAAATGCCTTCTCTGACAGATCTCTAACAGCGCCTCGCTCCCCTCGCCAGACTCGGGGACTTCTCTCGGCTCGCTCCCCCGAGGGAGCTCCGCGTACCACCTCAGCTGCCTTCCGACGTAGCTGCTCCTTTCCATCAAGCGTTCCAGCTTCCCCCCACCCACTAGACTCCCAAACCCAGAGAATAGGCACCCGCAGGTTTTACAGCAGGCCCTGACCGCTGCACCAGAGCGCATCTCCTTCCCGAGTTACAGCAAAAGAGCTCTCAATTTAGCCAATCTCAATAAACCGCCACAACCATAGAACTCCGAGAGCCAACAGCGCAGGCCAAACGGAAGCCAGCGTGCGCGCGGGCGGCAGGCCCCACCCACGGAAGTACGTCAACGCGCTCCGGCCCCGCCAGCACCTGGTCCTCTCCCCACTCCTATCCGCCCTTGCGGAATAAGGCTTTGATGTCCATCCCCTGGAAGCTGTTCTTTGCGTTTAGCACCTCAAACCTTGCTCTAATTGAGGTTTTTGTCTGTCCTCGTCAGCACTGTAAGGGTAATTTCTATCTAGTGTTCACTACCCTGCTGTAAACACTGTCAGCTTTACCAGACTTCAATTTATAGCGACCTTTGTATGTACATTAGGAAACGTTGCTGGTCCTGCGCCATCTTCGTGATTTGAGTCCATTGTTCCGGCCATTGTATTTTGAGTGTCTTCCAACACAGGGAGCGCATTTTCCAGAGCTACACTGGGCAATACTGTGTTTTACTGGCTGGATTTAAGATCTTTCTTCCTAGTTAGTGTGGGAGTTCCACTGAAACCTGACCCCCACGGGTGGCCGTATTTCAACACCAGTAGCATAGCTTCGAGTATTTTAACACACACATCACCACAGTATGACAAAGTGGGATCAGTGTATTTGTTTACCAAATCATCACTTAAAAGCACCTTTTCAATCTTACATGCTTATGAAAATAAACAGACTCCATTTTCAAAAACAATGCTTTGTGATGAATTTCTAAGATCTGGGCCTTCACAAAAACTCCAGGCAAATGCAATAGCAGTTATGTGTCTTGAATCACAACCACTTGGTGAGATAAGGGGAGGCTTAAAATTGCAGTGTAGCCCCTTCACACCTTGCAGTAGTCTTCCAAGGCCAGTGCCAAGCCAGCATTACAGGCATCAGCTGGGAAGCAACAGCAGCAACCGTAACCCCTGGGCAAGCAGCCCAGCCACCTTTATCAAGGCCTCCAGGGGACTTCAAGGCACACTGTCAATGTATAACTGTTATCAGGAGACCTAAGGGTTTGACACCAAATCCAGCAAGATTTAAAACTACCTTTTTAATATACAGAGATCCATGTTTTTTGACAGGTTCATGACATATATACAATCTTTTAGACCAGATAGTGAAAAACTGGTACAGGCCAAATTCAGGAGATCAGCCAATTCCAAGTCCATGATTCCCTCTAAGTGGTTATGAACTCACAGTCCAGGTTTAAGGACAAGCTACTGGACATCACTGGACTACCAAGAAGAGGGGCACTTTATGAAAAGGTGGTACAGAGCAATTGGGTTAATGTAACACAGTAATAAAGGGTTTTGATCATGTGACTGGCACAAGCACATGAACAAAGGTTTATAAAGCATCAAGCGAAAATAAAAAACAAAACCATAATATTGCTGGGATGCAGTTGTACTGATTAACTGCAAACATGACCACTGTTAACAAGTGAGTTTCTGCACTCAAGCCCACATCAGGGAAGAGGCCTATACGCAAATAAGAAAAAGCGAGAATGGGGAGAAAAATCACATTTATTAGTTAAGACAACCACAGGCTGGACAAAACACACATGCTAAAAAGTGGACCGTCTTTTCAAACGTACTTGAAAGATCAATAGGTAAATGTTTCCCACACCTCCACAATCATGTAATTGTTTACAGATTAAGACATTAAACAGTAAAATATGTAATAAATGCTCCAACCTACCCTGAAAGCCTTTTAACTCATAATGAATTTGAGTAACCATGACATTAAAAATTAAAGGCCAAATCCAGTCTTCAATGTTATTTGCCCTAGAAATACCACTCCCATCCTCCAATTTTGTTTTATACTTTAGAGATAAGGGAGCTAATAATAATTAATGCCCAATACTGACTTTAAAAGGACCTCCCCTGGCAAAACATGTACCAGACGCTCTGGAAAGACATTCAAACCTGCTTACTTCTGATTAATTATTGAAATAAAGGATTAGAAAAGTTAAGATGGGTGGGTTAATACTAAAGCTATCCCTTGGATCCTCCTAGCAATAAACCCAGGTTGAACCTTGTATTCACTGTGCTTTTGGTTATGTTGCCTCCTCTCGATTAAGCATTAATTCTGATGAGAGTTTTTCCTGTTAGTTTGAAGGATCAGACCACACAATTTCAAGACCTCTGGAATTCCCTGAATCACTGAAAGACATTCATGACTCCCAGTGTGACTAGGGTGAAGAGCCCCAGAAGCCCGTGAAGACTATCATCTACATAAAACCCGCACAAAGAACACTGAAAACCAATCTTATCTTACCAAGTTAGATGAAACTTGGCCATTTTATAGGACTCAACTTCATGTCTTTCAGTGTTGTTCAACATTTTGGTAATTCACAATATAGCCAAGAGCACAAATAAGTTTTTGAAAAAAAAGTTATTTGGAGCTTCTCAATTTGTAAATTTTGTAAAAGGAACTAAGTCATTCATGTTCCCACACTAAGTTTTGAAGGTAGAGTTAGCCAACTGATTACTTCACATCTACTTTACTATTTATCATTTAACCATTCTGTTAATAAGGAAGAAAAATCGGTTAAATGACAAGTTAAATGACTTGACATAAAGCCTTTATGCAATTTAATTAAAAATTATAAATGTATCAGCATCAATCCCATTTTAATGCTTGCATTATGAACAGATGCTTATTTAAAAAAAAAAAAAAAAAAAAAGCCTTCTGATCCCCCTCCCACCTCCCAAAATTAAAGGAATGGAAAAGAAGAAACAGTCAATTCAGCTTTTATAATTCAAAACAAACCGTTAAGCCAAGTTTTACATGACATTATATACGTAAAATAAAATACAATTTCCACTTAATTCAGTCTTCAAATATTTTTTATTGGAAGGCCATGCATTGCCTTCATTTATTGTATTTCAAATCACTGTACATTTAACTTTTGTGAAAACACTGCCTGCATTTTCTAGTACAAAAAAAACCTAAAAATTGTTTCAGGAATGTAGAGAAATATCCAACTTAAATAGCGAAAAAGTGCACCATAATTACTGCTGCACTGCAGTCATTTCTGCATTTCCCATGTTTCTTAAATAACTATCTTGTCTGATAACACACAATATAAAGAGCAATTATGAAAAACAGACATTTACATATACCTCTAAAGTCTTATTGGGAATATCCTGTTGGCATTGGATAACCAATCATAGGTGCAGCTGCAGTAGCAGGATATGCATATGCCGCCTGTTGGTTCATCCCATTGTGCATATTTGGAACATTAGTTCCATATTGCTGAGTGCTATCATAACCATTCTGGTAAGTCCCTGTTGGATTACCAGTCCTAAAACTGGTCTGTATACCAGCAGACACAAAATTACTTCCAAAGCTCCCATTGGTGTAATTTGCAGCACTGTAAACACCATTTTGAGTTTTTGCCCCAAAATCTCTCTTAAGCAGACTAGAGTAACCTCTGTCATAATTTTCCCTGTCTCTAAAGGTATTGAATCCACCCCTTTTGCCTGCGGAGTATCTGTCCCGACGGTCATCCTTCATGCCTCCTCTACCCCTGGAACGACCTGTCAAAAATAATTGCAATTTGATTATTTTCATGACACGAATCAATGATAAAACAGTAAACTAGTTACCTCTACTCACTACAGGTTTATCACTATAGATAGGAAATGCTTCCGCTTCCCAGCTTTACTACAGATATGCAATGTTTCAAAATTTCTCAGCTTAAGATTCACATATAAGATTTTACCTGCCCTCCATTCCCATTTAAATTGATTCTTAGACAACCACGTGGCCCCAAATCATCATTTTTCATTGAAGGGTAGTCTTACCTGAACCTCTGTCTTCGACCAACTGAAGCAACTTGGGATTAATTGCTTGATTGGCTTCACGAAGCACAGAGATAAGGTCGCTCACTTGTTTTATGTTATTAGGTGTAAAGAAAGTGTATGCGGTGCCTGTTTTGGTACTGCGAGCAGTTCTTCCAATTCGATGAATATAATCCTCTGAGGAGTTAGGGTAGTCATAATTGATGACAAATTTCACATCTTCCACATCTGTAAGGTGTTGCAGTGTGGCAAAATAGCAATGTACAGAGTTTTGCACACCACAACAGCCAGACCAAAAATAAAAAGTTAGACAATTGTATTCCCAAGAAGGTACGGGCTGCAAAAAATACAGTTAAAATGGTTATCCATTCCCTGTAGGAATACCATTGAGGTTGAAAAAAAAAAAAGAAGAAATGCACATGTCATCTTTTTAAGTCTCATCACCCACCCATTGATAAGCCTACCAAAAGGACATATATTCCCTAGAACATTCCCAGATCAAGAAGTCCCCTTACAGATCATCAAGTGACATCTGATTGCTTCTGCGCAGTAGGGCCACTTAAAAGTTCACAGCAACCTCTTCATGTGCTCTTTTTTGAGGACCTTTAAACAAAAATGTACGTGGTCCTTTGCGTTACACACTCATCTGTTCAAAATTCTGGCCACACTGCTCGTCTTGCCAAGACCTTACAACCGCAGCTGCAAGAAAAACATACCTGTCCCCCAAAAGTTGTTTTTATGCACTGTGTCTCGTCTAGGCAAGCGCTTCCAAGAAGCCAGGATTCACTTGAGAATGTGTCTCTCTCTGGCAGGTCTCGACATGACGACTACTGTGTAGGTGAGGGAGGAACTTTCGAGCACTGCTTTCTTTTCCCACTGACTAAGTGTGAGAAAGTGCACCTGCTCTAGAGCTCATGTGCCAGTACTCACCAATTTGTAAAGGCTTAGTACCTTTTAAAGCTGCTCTCTCCATTTCAAACTTGAACAAAAATTTCATTGAACTCTGAAGTTTGGAAATATTTCTTCGACATTTCAGCAAACTCACTGAAACGCAAAGACCCACAGATCACAGGAAACAGTTTGAAACAATGCTGTACCATGGCAGTCATGCAAAGCATGGGACAGAAGAAATACCACGGCAGTGAACTGTGAGGGTAACTTCCATTTCCCTCCCGGAGAGAACAGTTTACGGGGCAGAGGTGGTATGTTCTGCCTTTTGAAGATTACTGGCACACTTTCAGC